GATGCAGCAAAGCTTGGAAGGAAGTAGGACCTCAGGATGGGGCTGTATGGTAGCAGCCTTGCCCTAAGTGAGTGTGTCCAGGTGTGCCAGGCAGTGCCCAGAGACAGGCAGCACAAGGATTTAGGTTCCTGGTTTGAAGAAGTAAGAGTATCCTAAGTAGGAGTTCACATTAGTGTCAGGGGAGTTGGCTTGTATCTGAGGAGCTGGTTGCTGTCCATACAATTTCACAGTTTGCACTGTTGCATGAGCAGCCTAAACCCAGGCTGGGAAAGTTATTCCTGAATGCCTGGGTGGCTTTTCATGAGCTCAACTATTCCTTTCCAATCCTATCTTCGTAGGTCAGAAGACAGTTTTGAAATGTTGCCTTTAGAACTATGGTTCTCACTTACTTGGGTTTTTCCTTTTGTTAGTTTTGAATTTATACTGCTCTACTACTCTACTTCTGAAGGGATTGGTTGGGAGCAACTCTTCAGCTTGAGGCATCACTCACTGTTCTTTGTGTATTGGCATTTTGTGATGTCCTCCCTTTAGGAGAGGGACACTTAGCACTTTATGAACATCTTCTGTTTAATAGTAGGAATCCAGCTAACCATTTCCAAACTGTCATTGTTAGTTTGCCAGAATGTTAGGTACCTTTGCTGTAAAATCATGTTTCTTTGTATTGTTTGGTGTGTCAGAAACCTGGTCATACTGAAACCTTTGGCCATATGTAGATGTGTATTTTCATAGTACATTTATAAAACATAGTTTTAAAGTACAAACAAGACTGTAGACATCATTAAATACTTAGGCAGACATAAGGATGGATGGATGGATGGATGAATGGATGGATGGATGGATACATAGATGTTTTAATTGCCTTCTAGGCACCATGTTGGTGAGAGAGGGATTACCACCCTAAAATTATGGGAATGGCCAAATATATGGCATTGACACTGGACAGATAAGATTGACATCAGTTTATTAACCACAGGTATCATAGGCTAGGGGAGAAAGACATTATACTCCACGCAGGATCACACATGTGTTACACTTGGGCACAGAATGAACAAGCAGAGTGTGTAGGAGGCAGCTTGTGTAGGATCAATAGGGTGGAGGGTCCTTGGTTCCCATGGGAAAATGTGATTGGATTATTTGATTAGTTTCATGGGCTTCCAAGGACTGAAACCTGTTACTAAGGGATAAGTAGGAAATGCACCTAGTCCCCTTGACAATGAAGGTTGTTTGGTTATGGGACCTTATCCTCAGGAGCAGAGTGGGGAGGAGAACTTATGGTTAGGCCATTTGAGGTCTCCCACTTTCACCAGATATCAAAGCAGTACATAATATTGGATCTTCATTTAAGGCCTTGTACCACAATGGATAGTAGAAGCAAAGAAAGAAGGCAGAATGAATAGATGAGTGCATAGAAAGATGGAAAAGTGAGATAAAGTATGAATGGTAGGATGCACAGGGGCTGAGGGCTTGTGTTTGACTCCTGATGCTGCCATTTGCTATCTGTGTGAGCTTGGGGAAGTGACGTAACCTTTTTGATACAGCCCTCTTCCCTGATCTTGTGAAATATGGATTTAGGGTCTCATGAGGATTAAATCAGCTAATAGTACCTAAAGGACTTCACACAGTGCCAAACACACATAATATAGGCTTGGTAAATGTCCCTTATTCTTTTTACTCCAAAGAGTTTTCTTTGAAAATACACTAATTGGACTTTTATCCAAGTCCATGTGTTGGATTTTAACTCCCTTAAGGATATATTTTGATGAGATGTTCTTGTTTTTAAGATAGTCTACTTTATTTATCTTTTGTTTTGAGGTTGCTTCTTGTTGTATACTGTTTTTGAAAACTACCCATCCCAAAGTTGTAAAAATATCCTCCTGTTTTCTTCTAAAAGCTTTGTCATTTTACCTTCACATTTCAATCTATGGTTTATTTGATACTGATTTCTGTACATGATGTGAAGTAGGAGTCAAGCTTCATTTTTTTTTCTGACATGGAGGACCAATCAACCCAGCACTTTATTGAAGGAAAAGAAAAAAAAGAAAACCACTCTTCCTTTACTGCCTTTCAGTGGTTCCTTTGTCATAAATCAAGTGGGTCTGGTTCTAGGTTCTCTAATATCTTTTATTGTTTTTCTTGTTTATCTTTGCACCACTTCCACACTGTTTTAAAGACACACATTGAGAATATACAAATAACTTAGGGAAAAAGAGAGATAGCCAAATCAAAATGGGATAATGAATGGAACAGGTATTCAAGTCCATTTTAAGTCTTTGCTTGTAATCATTGATTTAACATGCATTTATTGAGTGCCTGCAATGCACCTTTCTGAGGTAGCAAAACATTGCATGTATATATGTATGTATGTATGTATGTATGTATTTACTTATTACATACCTGTTGATCTTTACCTATGTTCAGCTATTTTTTGTTCACTTTCCTTGTTAATGATATGTTACCAGTCCGAGAGGCAAAAGTCCAAGTATTTTGAAAGTTCAGGAGCTGAATAATTGCGGAAATGCAAACAGAAGCTGTGGTGAAGACAGTGATACCAAGTGCAGCCTGGAAAGGGAAGGGCACATGAATGGAATGGTGCTGCCCTCATGACAGGTTTTATTTCTGTTACAAATAAGAAAAAAGTTCAACTGGAATGTACACTGATTCTTGTATACAGGTACCAAATGTTGAATGCATTTCAAAAAACTGGAGCTCTCCTGGAAAGAATAGGAGACAACAAGCCAAAGAAAACTGGGAAAATGGATGAAAGTCAAAGGGGAAAACAGCTAAGTCAATTCTCAATCTTAACAAAAGTTTTCAGAATTATGACTCAAGAGCAACATTCACTGTGAACATCCTGGTAGGCAAGAAAAGTTGTATTTCTGATTTCAGTATTGTCATGGTAAACATTTACTAAAGATACTTGCAATCTTTAGTCAAAAGTATTAAATATCAGTGATAGCAAATGATTGTCTTTAAGCTTGGGTTGGCAATTGTTTGGTTACATGTGTAGCATGCAATAGCCACAAAATGAAAGTTGTAAATATGGAGTGGGTGGGAAGGAAAGAAGTGGAAATGCTTGGGTTTATTGATCATCTGGAGAATCAAAACTTTAAAAAGTGCTACTGCCTGGTGACAGAATATATTATGAATGCATCAGAACTTTGACCCTTTTTGGGAATAGAGATGTGATGCGTTTAAATGGAACCTGGATGGAGCCACCTCAGTGTAAAGAGTGTACAGGAAAATGTGGGCCCCTTCCACCTATTGACAATGGAGACACCATCACATTCCCATTAGCGGAGTATGCTCTAGGGTCATCAGTTGAATACCAATGCCAGCACTTGTACGAACTTCAGGGAAACAGGGAGATAACATGTAGAAATGGAGAGTGGTCAGAACCACCAAAATGCCTAGATGCATGTGTAATATCAGAAGAAATTATGGGAAAACATAATATACAGCTTAAATGGACTGAGAAAAAAATTTATTCTAGAACAGATGATGTTATTGAATTTATTTGTAAAGCTGGGTACATGAACAGTCACCACATTCTGCATTTAGAGTATCCTGTCGGGAAGGGAAAGTGGAGTATCCACTTGTGTGAGAAGATATAGATAGAATGAAGTCATGAAATTATAATATACACACTCATTTAAAATTTTTGTTATTATTCCAATTCTCTCAATTTTTTTTAAACATTAAAAAATCATAATTCTTTTATTCATAAATCAGAATTTGTGTTAAATATTATATGGAGGGTGTCATTGTAACCTGAGAGACCAATCTGTCACTTCTTAAAAGCATCTCATTATAATGTGACAAACCAAAAAAAAAGTGTTATTGAAATTATTTCTCAAAACATCCCAATTCAGAGCTAAAATGTGCCAATTATTGTGATGTGACATATGACTTACAACCTTGTACTTAGTAACTTTAACAGAAAAACTTGACTTTGAACATAAGACTCTTAGTTTATATAAACCAAATTTCTGGCAAGATCTTGAAACAGAATCTTATGCCCCTAAGAAATGGATTCTCTGTTATTACAAGTGGAGAGAGGCTTCTCTCTTCCTTTTCAATTTTGAATACAAGTCCTCAAGGACTTAGGCAATACTGAACTTTCTGAGAGTGGGCACTATAAGCCAACTTCAACACTCAAGTTAGAATGGACATGGGATGTTGATTCTCCATCATTTCCTCAGTGTACTGAGCCCAAATCAGGCTGAATTGCAACACAGCACAAGCTACTGTTTATTCCCTCTTGGAGTCAAAGGAGAACATTGACACAGATAGCACGGGGTTGGATTCAAATCCTGAATCTATCTCTACTCAGTGTGTTGGGAAGAATCCCTCCTGCCTTAGAGCCTGTCCCCACCAAACAAATGATGTGATGATGCCTTATAAACTTTAAAGCATAACACAAGGAATTTCCATTTTTGTGGTCAAATATTGTTGACTATCAGCATTTAAGGATGGTTTTGTTCAATAAGATGGTGTTGTTAGAACATAACAAACCCATTGACTGTCCTTGTCTATCATTGCTTCACTTGACTATAAGTCTACTTGCTCATCCACCCAAAGCATTTAACTGCCAACTTAGTAGCAAGCACTATATTAAGCACCACAAATTAAAACATTTAAAAAAATCAGGATCAAGAGAAGGGCATATGCTGCCAACTAACCAATGAGCCTATACATTTGCAAGATGCTTATTAATAGAAGAGCTCCACAATTAATAAAGTTGACATGTATACTCAAACACTAATGTGGCTGCATGTAACAGAAACAACTTGAGTTGAAGTAAGCATCTCCCTACACATATAAAGAAACTTATCCCATAGTTTTAGGGGGTACTCAAGGCAGTGACTCTCAAGGGTGGGAATGTCACCAGACATTGGAAAGGGACAGGAGCCAGAAAATGAAAATTTGTTAGAGCCCACAGTATGTCCAAACCCTTGGGTCTCCTCTCTGTTTCTGTTTCCTTTTTTATGCTCCACAGACTCACTTCTCTGCTCATCACAAAGCAGAAGGAAGACAGCTCTCCTACCTGCAAATAAATTTGCATATGATAGTCTCCTGCCACCTAAGGACACCCAGTTCCTGAATCCCAGGGGAGAGACTCTACTTGGGTCAGTTGTCCAGCTAACTGCTATGAGATGTTTGGTGAGTTTACCCTCATACATACACACACCTGCATCCCCACACAAAGCTTTCAGTAGTTTGTGTGTTGATCTATTGGTTGATTGATTTGGCTTGAGGGACTGTCATACTAAATATATCCTTTTATGCTTATTTTTTTCACTTAGTTAATCTTAGTTCCTTCCATTATGGTACATATGAGATTACATCATTCTTATTTAATAACTGTATAGAATTCTATACATGGAATCTGTTCCATGGTCTATTTAACTATTCCCCTGTTTATGGTTATTTCCATTTTTTCATATTATTTAAAGAGTCACATTCATTATTCCCTTATATATCTTTAAGTATTTCTGGAGTATAGAAATCTCAAGTGTAATGTCCAGATCAAAAGGTATGTGCATTTTAAAATTTAATAGATATTACCAAATTGCTCTCCCAAATGCCTTTAGCAGTTAAAACTTCTGCTGATATGGTACAAGAGTGAATGTTTCTTACCCCCTTGCTAATCCTGTATATTTGTAATCTTGCTAATGGTTCAGTCAAAACAATTAACAAACAAACAAACAAAACTTTTCATGCTCTGTGAATCAAATTGTTATTAAGGACTGTGGTTTTTCTGCCTCATGTGTGGACTAGAAGGGGCACAATGTCTGAGACAGCCCCATCGATTTATAACTATGCTTCGGAAAGGCCAGCTCTCAGCTTGCCCTCTGCCTCCTCTAGCACAGAGCTCACAGCTGGAAGTCCTGCTCCTGGGATGAGCAGTGCCTCTGAGCTGCCTGCCTTTATGTGATTTCAGCAAGTGTTGTTCCTTGCAAGACACTGAAATCTTTTCAATTATGACTTTATAAAGCAGACCTAGGAAGCAGCTGAGTTAAAAAGTTAAAAAAATCTTAACCTAAAAATAATACATTAGAGTAAACATTTTAAAAATTAAAATAGGAAGTTATGAATAAGTTCCTTTTCATTTGTAACTAATACAAGGCTCTACTCCACTGTTTATATTCTTTCCACAGTAACCGAATACAGAGCAGTAACCCCCCATCCCATGCCTCTTCCTGAAGCTAAAGGGGGGCCTGCTCCAGTCCTTTCTGCCCTTTGACCCTGAAGTAGGAGCTAAATGTAGGATTCCTTGGGTTTTTTGTTTGTTTGTTTGTTTCATTTATATGACATTGGGGAGGAGAGATTGGAAGTATAGCTGGGAGGCAAGGAAGGAAAGAGATTTACTTTTTTTGTTTGTTTCCTATTCTGATTTACTTCAACTGTTAAATTTAAGTTTTCAAAGAATACAGGCAGTCTTATTTGCAGGTTTGAAAGTTATGGAGCTCTTGTTTCTTTCCCTGACAGGTTGGAAATAGTGGTGAAAACTGCATAGTGAAACAGGTGTGATTGGCAGCTCTAACCCATTTTCTAAAAGACTACCACCCCATTCTACTCTCTTCAGAAAGAGTTTTCTATCAAGATCGAACCCAGTGACTTTGCTCAGGACATACTGATTTTCTTTTTTCATAGAATTACAGGTAATATTCTTTTTTTAAAAGATTTTATTGGGGAATTGGGGGAAGGAAACAGACAAGTTGCTGTTGTTTTGTTCTTCAGTCTAGTTCCAGATTACGTTGCTTCACTGGCCCATGTTGGTATTATCATTGTGCTCTTCCCGGGTGAGGCAGATCAGTTGCTGGCCTCTGGACAGCCACTCGCGGTGGCACTTAGCAGCTCACACCAGCAGCCAGCTGCTCACACTGGCTGCCAATCACACATGATAACTTATGGCATCCCACTGCAGCAGGGGCTGCAGCCTAGGCCGTCGCTGGCAACTCAAGGCAGCCCAGCTCCAGGTTGAGCTGTTGTTCTCCATCTTAGTTGTAGAGGGCAGTGTCACTGGCCCCCATGTGGGATCTGAACTGGGGCCCTGCTGCTAAGAACTGGCGCCCCAAGCCAGCTCTTAACCAACACGTCACTTGACCAGCCCGGTGATATTCTTGATCACTCTTTAAAACAATGTATAGTATAAAAGTATTAATTGAGCTTTTTTAAAAATGCAAGTTGGAAAGTGGTGGAAAAGACCCCAGAATCAGGTCCTTTGACAATCCCTGGCTTAGATCCCAGCTGCCCAAGTTTGGACCTTTCCCATAGCTACTGGAACTTGTTTCCTTAGCTGCAAAGTAGGATAACTCTTATTTCACAGGGATGGTAAAGATTCAGTTAAAAATACACTTATTATTGTATTATTATTGTATAGCACTCCCAAAGTTTTTGCTACATCTGGCATGAGTAGGTGCTCAAATGTCAGTGGAGAAGAATGAAACTTAGAATGCTGTGATTTATGTTCATAGGTAACCCATTTATTAGTTCACCAAGCTGTGGGAATCAGCTCCTCCATGGCATTCTGGCAACCTTGCAAGTGCCCACCCAGGTCACACAAGCAAAAGCATGAATGCTGTGGATGGATCTGAGTTTTGGTGGAACCTTGGTCCTATGGGGACATGAGACCATCTCTTCCTTGCCTCTATAGTCCTTGGAGGCTGTCAGGAGATGGATTCTCATTCTTCCCAGATCCTGGTGATGTTGAGGCTCCTGCTTTTGTTGCAATGTGCCCTTGGCTCCAGTATCTCACAGCAGTCCTCCCCAACCTACACTTTGATATTGTCCTGTTTGGTGTCATCCCTCTTTGAGATGAGGACCTGGGAACTGGCTCCTTTGGCTGCTCTTTCATCTCCATCTATGTGAGTTCCCCTAAGTGTGAATCTGAAGTGGCTTCTGAAGTGGCCAAGCTAGTACAGCTGTAGCTGTGGCCTTGCCTTTTCCTGAGTGTTGGATATAGACCTGCATGGGGTACCTTCTCGGTGTGTAGTGTCAAGACCCTGTGATGAAAAAGATGATCTCAGTCCCTGCCCCTTTGTGGCTCTGTTTTCTTATTCTGGCAGTGATGATGGCCACAGTAATGCACCTCTGATAAGGAAAGGAACACCACTGGCCTTCTCATGCTGTCAGTGAACCTGTGAATTTCCCCTTAGTACAGAGATACTCAGGCCAATGTCCAGGCTCTCATCTTTTCCCCATGTGCCTAGAGGCCACATTCTGGGATTAGCAATTAGCTGGTGAAAGCCTCTGGGCCAGTTTTCAGAAGAAACTCGAGGTGATCATCACAGGGTGATCCCTGTAGCCTCTCTCCATCTCTCTCCATCTCCTGTAGGCTCTGATCATGTCTCCTCTACCCCAGGCTCCCAGCTTGGATCATTGATTGTGATGTAAGGGCAGTGAGCACCTGAAACATGATGACTTTGTATTGATGAGTGAGAGAAATGGCTTTCACACTTGCTTCACATCTTTTCCCAAGGCTTTGTTTTTGCTTAGTTGAGAGGAGTTTCCCAAGAAATACCCTGCAGAGAAAGAAAGAAAAACCAGAAACAAACAAACAAACAAACAAACAAACAAAAAAGAAAGTCCCTGCAACATAGGTTCTATCTTAGAGTCAGCGTTTCAGAAGCAGACCCGGAAACAAGAATTTGAGGGGAAGTGATTTGTTTGGAAGGTGAGCCTAGGGGAGGGGGGAAGTGAGACAGGATGGAAAAGAGGTGACATAGGTGCTAATGAGCAGATTTCCACTATGGGCACCTAGGGCTCAGTCCCATGGAGAGCTCTAGGAAATAATGTGCAGCATGCAGCAGAGTGTCCTGCTTCCTCCTGCCAGGGCTGAAGAAGCTGGATACCTAGGACTAGGACTAGAGTATCCAGGACTATCATCACTATCCATGGGCAGCTCTCAGGGGTATTGACTCCCCTTTAAGGGAGGTGCAGATCCTCACAGCAGGGTGCCACTGGTGTTCCTGGAAGTGGTGAGGGTACCTGGGCAGGGAGCCAGCAGCATCAGTCCCCATCTTCTAACTCTGAAAACGTTCTCCTCTCTTTGAGCCAGATCAAAGGAACCCAGGTAAGATCCAATCAGCCTGAAAAACTCTAAATGCCAAAATGCTGGGACGTATCACAGTTTGGAGCAGATATAGGATTCAGAAACCCTGTGTGATTTCTCAGAATCAGAACCTATCAAGAGCAACTCTAAATATGCTCTCTCATTTCAAAGAGGGTCCAGATTCCCATGAATGGTTTATTTTAAAAAACATGTAGGGGAAGGAAGTGTTTGAGAGCAGCACAAAGACTTCAAATCTACACACAAAGAGAGGTGGTTTCTGTTTCACAGAGGTCTCTTTATGAAGTGTCCCATTGTCATCTTCAGAGTGTTTGTAAATGTGCTTTTAATTTTGAGGTATTACTAGGCAGCACTTTAAATAAAACTTTCTGGATTTGACTTGTGGAAGGGATGGTGAGAGAAATCAGCTCAGTTAATCACTTTTAACGGTGCTTTTACATGCCTGATTGGAGCAACTGTCTGGTGATCTTGGACCAGGCAGAGGAAAGGCAACAGAAAATACTCTAGATGCACTGTGAAGATCTGTGGCTCTCAATTCACTTTTACGAAAAAGACCAGTAATTCCTTCCATGTGCACACCATTGTATGGTGTTCTGGGTGCTTCAAACACTGCCCCTGGGTCCTCACAATGGGCAAGGGTGTGAGTTACTTTATCCCCATTTCACAGAAAAACCAGCAGGTCAGGGCAAGACAGGACCTGCTTGTCCAGAAGAAGAAACTTGGCCTAAAACGTCTCTTGATCATTGGCAACCAGACACTGCCTTGGCATGAAATTCATGCCAAGTAAATGTCTGAATAGCTGGATTGTTGTTTAATGTGGGTCTTTCCACCACAGAAAGATCATGAGTGGGCATTAGCAGAGAACCTGACAGGCAGCAGGAGGTTCGAAATGATGCACTTCATTTTTTTTGTTTTTATTAAAACACATTAATTTATTCATGTGGGAAAATTGTTCTCAACAGCTGCTCCCCTATCTGTTGGCCTCATCTCTCTACAGTCTATCAGAACATTTTATTAATGAATCATCTTCTGCAGTGCTAAATGAAGCTCAGTGACACCTGTCCAAAGGTGTGCACATGTCAGTGAGACAGTGAAGAGAGAAACGTCATCAAGACCCAGCTGAATGAATTTCTAGTACTGGGTGTTTGGCACTATGATAGGCATGTTTAAGATGGCCATCTTTATGGTTAGGGAGGCAGACTTTCTAGCAGACCTGAAAGGATTGCATGCCAGTAGACACCCACCCTGTTTACTCCATGGACAGCCGAACTGGTCCCCAACCACTTCCAGAATGGTAGTGAGAGGAAAGGGTGAATGAATAAGAAACAGGAAAATGCTACTGAGAGTAATAGTTATTAAATACTAATATGGTTGCTAGTTCAAGAAATTGAAATAAGGGCCAGCCAAGTGGCACGTTGGTTAGGAGTTGGCTTGGGATGCCAGCTCTGAGCATCAGGGCCCTGGTTTGGATCCCACATGAGGTCCAGTGACACTGTGCCCTCTACAGTTAAGATGGTGAACAACAGCTCGACCTGAGGCTGGGCTGCCATGAATCGCCAGCGATGGCGTAGGCTGCAGTGGGGTTGGCCAGCAGCTGGTGTGAGCTTTCATGAACTGCCGTGAGCAGCTGTCCAAGCAACTGCCTCAGCTGGGAAGAGCGCAATGATAATACCAACATGGGCCAGTGAAGCGACGTCCTCCACAACTAGACTGAAGAACAAAAGGCCAGGAATATGTCTGTTCCTCTTCCCCGATTCCCCAACGCTGTTCCCCTCCCCCAATTCCCCAATAAAATCTTTAAAAAAAATTGAAATAAGACTAGAAGACTTCCAAGTTGCCTTTTGGTAATTTCAATACTCCTGGCAATTGCTCCGCTGGCAGAGACACACTTTTCTAGGACTACTGCACACGTGAGGGGCTGCTTCTCCTTTGTGTTTCTGATGCTAGATAGATAGAATTTATTTTTTTAAAGACTTTATTGGGGAGTTGGGGGAGGGGAACAGCATTGGGGAATTGGGGAAGGGGACCAGCCAAGTTGTTCTTCAATCTTCATTTTGGAGGGCGCCAGTCACCATCTGGCTGTCCCATTGGCAGCTTGTGGCCTCTAAGCTCAAGGTGCTATGTTCAATCTTAGTTGCAGGTGGGCATAGCCACCATCCCATGTGGGAGTCAAACCAGCAGCCTTGTTGTTAAGAGCACACACTCTACCCACTGAGCCATCCGGGCAGCAGCTCAGCTCAAGGTGCCAAGTTCAGTCTTAGTTGTGGGTGGGCATAGGCCACCATCGAATAGGAAAACTTGTTACACCAGCTGAGCCATCCTGCCACCTGTTGGCAGCTCAGCTACAGCTCAGCTTAGGCACAGCATAACTGGCCCATGTGGGAATCGAACTGGCAGCCCTGTTTCTCAGAGCCTGTGCTCTTAAGCCAACTCTTAACCAACTGAACCGCTTGGCCAGCCCCAATAGGATTTTTTCTTAATTATTGATGATATTCTAGGCAAATTTCTGGTGAGGATCAGGCAAAAAAAGATCCGATGTTTCTATGCCTTACTGTAAATGCCCACAAACACTATCCCACCCCTGAATCTCATTTGTTTAGTGAAGTATCTGAGATGTGTGGAAATGGTCATTCTTACACAAATATTGGTAACTTGCCCCAGGACTGCACAGCAGATGTGAGCTATAGAGCTAGAGTTTAAATCCAGTCATCTAACTCCAGGGCCTTTTACTTGCTTAAAATTTTGCCTAATCTTTCTCTGTTCTGAGCTGGATTATAAGGCAAATGAGATTTTACAAAGGAGGACTGCTGGAGCATATTTTTGCATAACCTCCCCATCAGTTTATATAAGTGAAGATGTACAGACCCTGAACTCAGAAACTTCCCCACTCCTTCCTCTGTGTTGGGATCCGGGGTACAACACTGCTGACACTTTACCTAGGAACCCATGGGATGCAGGCATTGCCTGTGTGTGAAAAGTAAATGACCTTTCCCTACATTCCCCTTCACACCTGAATCCGTTCTCTATCTTCTGTGAAGCTTCTAATGGCAAGATGAGCATAGGATCAGAATATCCTGTTCTGAGGTAAACTGTCTGCAGCTCCATGATCCTTCAGAGGACCTCTCTGCTCCAGGCTGACTGCAGCACCTTCTGGAGGTACCCACACAGCAGAGTAACTACTCTTGGGTCAGTGTTGTTCCTACTCTGTGTCCCAACAGCTTGGCATGGTGTATCTCAGAAATGAGACACACGTGCATATTCTTCTTTAAATGAATAAAACCCATTTTCCCCCAAACAACAGCACATATGCCTGACCACTTCCAGGCAGAGGCCACTCAATGATGACTTGGGGCTGGGCTCAGGTTGCTTCTTAGAGGTTTATTAATGAGCAGCAAAATCTGTGTCCATCCTGGGGCCTGGCTTCTGATCCTGGCACAGCTCTCAGAGACCAGGAATCTGCAACACCTGCTTGACCACACCCAGGATATTGGTTACAGCAGGAGATTCAGTTTTCTCTCTAAACCTTAAATAATGCATGTGCATGCACAGAAACCATTAATACAGACTAATTTTTACAATTAATGAAGTATGCCTCTTTGTGGTGAGAAAGAATGAAGAATGACCTAAACCACTGGTTCTCAAACTTGAGTGGATTTCAGAATCTCTTTGAGGTCTTCTCAACACATAGGTCACTGGGCCCCACCCCAGGGTAGGTGTGGAGTCACCCAAGGACTTGCATTTCTAGTAAGTTCTCAGATGCTGATGCAGCTGTTCCAGTCACCATATCTAAAGCCCAATGGAGCAAACCGACAGCAGTGTGACACCTCAAAACCTCAACCATTCCATCCCCATAATGCCAAAGAACCTGTTAGAGAAGCCAGCTCCTTACAGTTTCCATGATATAAAAATTTTGAATATGAACTATGAGTTAAAGACTGGAATTAATACACAATTTTTATGTTTCCACAATCACTTTCTTGGGATATTGCAGGATCGGCAACTAAAATGAGGAACTGGTTCCTCTTCATGCCACGTTACTCCCAAAACAGACAATGATGATGGTTGGTGGGATTTTTTTTTAAATTCTAACTTTTGTGTTTCTAGAAACATCTGATTAAATAACATCCTTTATAACCAAAGTGGAATATAAAGAAACCATTTGAACTTTCTCAGTTATCATGGTCATCATGCCAAGCTACAGTAAGATGAATCTTAACTTTCTAATTTTAGAAACTGCCAGAAATGCTATTTGGATTAATTTCTACTTGAGATTTGGCTAAAACTGGCAATATTCTCTCATACCTCAGGACAAACATCATAGCATTGTCATATAAATCTATATTCTCTTAATTAGGTTAAAATATACCTTTGAGGAAGGCAAAATACATATTTTTAATAGATTACTCCCAAAATATGTTCAGACACAAGCAGTTCAACTTTTCTCCCCTTCCTATTCAATGTAAATCGATTAAATTTCTACATTTTTGGAATTGTATTAAATTGTATTGCAGTCTTTGGTTACATACATATAAAATTCAATCAGCATTTTTGTTGTGGAAATTTTAATATATATAGGTTAAAGAAAATAGTATTTAAAATGACATTTTAATACTTTGTAAGAAAAAAACAGAAATTCAACTTTTCAAGCACAGCCCAGTACTACCACTGGACTGTATTTATAATATTGTCCCCTAACAGAATATGTTACAATGCAAACATAAGTAGTTTATTCTTTACAATAGATTGAGCCTCAAAATGTGTCTGTACAGAATGTCTACAAAGTAAATGAATAAACCTTTGTAATAAAAGATTAGAACTAAAGCCAAATGTGGTGAGGGAAAAATCACCCTAATTGCTGATCCTGATACTATTTTCTGAATTAAACGTGTTTTAAATTCTTAGCCAATCAGTTCAAAACTGAACTTTTGTGTTTCAGAGAGAGCTAAAATGGAACAGTGTAACCAGGATAAGTTCTGAATCCAGCTCCAGTTTTATTCAGGTAACTACTCCTTTCCAGAGGTGATGACTCAGGGGACATGTGGCTGGTCACATAAAAAAGGTGGTCTGTCTCTGTCCCTGGACACTTGATGTTAGATGTCTGAATTTCACATCCAGAGCTCTTGGAACCATTTTACAACCATGTAGGGATCTAGTCTGGGCCAATTCAAGAGAAGATGACTTAACAGAGTGAGGAAAAGATCTTAGGTTCTTGGTGCCACCACCGGCTATTGAATCAACCAGTCTGGAAACCTGCCAGACTCTCAACTGGCTCTTATTTGATGTAAAAATTACATAAAATAAATACAAATAAAATTTGGAAGTTAGAGATTTCATGGAACCAATATTTTGTCTGTTTCTGTTCATATTCATTGCACATTTTTAAATAAGCTGTTTGTTGAATCATTCTTAAGAAGGTCTGCTGTATTATTAAACAGTGTTGCTTTGTCCCAGTGATTGAGTCAGTGTGTCCTGTCAATCAGCCTTTCCCCTCCCATAAGGACCACTCAAGGACAGGATGGCCCCATTTGGAGCCAGTAGGACATGAAGGAAATTTTCCTGGGGTCTCTTCTGAAATTGCCCCAAGTCATCTAACTGGTAAGTGGAGAAAGCCAAGCTCTAGCCAGAACAATATAACCATAGAACCCATGTTATTGGCTATCAAGTTAGGGATATAGGTAGGGAGAGAAATGGGGAAGGGAAAGTGTTTGAGATGGCTTGGTGGGAGCTGCCAAACACAGTTTTTTCTAGGGCCATTCTTGGCTTTACCACTTAGCCATCTTATGTCATACCTTTTTGGAAGTTGTGATTTCAACTGAGTCCCCAAGTTATGTCATGTTGGGGAAATTATTGTATTTATGGTTTATATATGATAATTATAGATTCTAAATTTTCCAGGAAAACCCCAATTTTTTTCTTACTTCTCTAACACATTCACTGCCCACATTTTTGCTTGTGAAAGTATAACAACTACATGAACACATTTAGAGATTTTCTGTGTAAATGACAGAAAGTCCCATGCAAGCAGCTTTGAACAATAAAAGACATTTATTTGTTCCCATATCTAGGAAGTCCAGGGACCAGCAGGACCTTCCATGTTGGTGAGATTTAACGACTGTGTTAACAACACCATCTGTCCTGTCTTCCTCCTACCTCCTGTCCTGCTAGCTCATCCCAAGGCCTTCACTCTTCACCAGTGTAGCTGCAACAATTTTGGGCATCACATTTACACACCTTGCTGTCCAAAATGAGAGTGCTTTGTCAGGGGTCTTGCCCTCATGTTTCATTGTCTCCGATTGGGTTAGTTACATGTCTATTCTTGGACCAGTACTTACAGGGATCACCATAGCAGGGGAGGGTGAATGTTTGTCCCCTTTGACTGATACAGTCAGGCCCCATCCCGACAGCTGTTCCCCAATAGAGAAGAATAGAATGGATGCTGCGGTCAAAAGCAAAACTGACTTCTCTGCTGTCTGTATCCAGATCTATGTCATATGATGCCATGCCCTACAGGAAAGTTTAATATAATGCAGTGTTCTCTTTTCTATTTTTAAGATAAGTCACTTTTGAACTCACGTATTCAGAAAGGTCAGTCGTAAATAGGTCTTGCATAAACTTCCACTGTTCCCTTACACTAACAGAGTCCCTGGCTTTGGCTCCGTGACTTGAGTATTCCTAAGTTGAGAGATTTTATGGGATTTCTCAGAGCACATACACCATCTACAAGTGCACTTTTCATGAATCAAGGCATGAAAATAATAAAGAAATATAAGACACATGAGGCAACAGCTTGAATCAAATCAAATCATGAAGGACAGAAGGGAACCTTGAGTGGAGAAGAACATGAAGACAACAACAGGTGGGGGCATTAATGGGAAATAAACACTTTGCTCAAATGATTCTGGGGTGAGGGTCTGACTGCCAGGTCCTTCTCCCAGGTGTGCAGACTTATATGTTTATTGTCACTCTGTAACTCAATGACAAACACATGTATGGGGTGCCAGTCACCATTTAGCTGTTCTTGACAACAAGGCATGGGAATTTTCCCTCACTGAAACTCTCCACCTAAATGTGACTACAACCCTGTTGCTATGCAGTGTCCCCTGGCTGATTGGTAGGCCCCAGAGCACCTGAATTGCAGCAGCAGGAGTCCAGTTAACATTCTTCTCCAGGTCAGCAGTGCATCATCCTGACTGTCCTGGCACAGTTCCTTCAAAGTAGCCCACAAGGCTTCCCATGGAGTTCACAGCTACATGTGGTCTCATGGACAAAGTATGACCTTTCTGTATCACAACCATCAAAAGCACTTACATGTTTGCTTACTCCGCTTCCAAAATAAATTTTATTTCCAATTTTGAAAGTATCAGATATTCATTTTGAAAAATACAAAAAAAAAATTTTTGAAACTCACCACTTCAAAGAGAGCTTGTGGGATCAAAAACAGGAACTTTTAACACGATGTCCAAAGATTGAAGTTCTCCATAGGATGTAATAGTCACTCAATAAACTCAATAGTGCTATGTTTTCCTGAGGGGTTATATAAGATCAATGAAAAAGAAAACGAAACAAAACAACAACAAAAAAGTCACCACAAAAATAAAAAGTTCTACCAATGATTTGGTGCATTTCTTCTCATTTATATTTTTCTTTTTTTAAAAAAAATTTTATTAAATTATTTTTTATTATGAAAGACACTTTTTTAGAATTAGTTTCAGCTGTACAACACAGTGCAATAGTTATACTTTTTACTCCTTGAAGTGACAACCCTCCACCCCCAATCGGCCGCCCCATTTCCCCCAATATCATACATATCTATTACAAATCCCCCGACTCCTCCCCCACACTATACTCCACGCCCCATGACCATATACATATATATATTCAATCATAGTTGACATACAATACTACACAACATCAGCCTCAGGTGCACAGCGCAGCGATCAAGCCTCCCCCCCCATCCATGATGCAAGACATGTGACCACCTGACACCCCACAAAACATTCACAACATGATCAATTACATTCGCCGAACCATCCCCCATGCCCCCATGGCAACACTGCAGCTGCATACCTATGCTATCCAGCCCCCCCTCCATCCCCCACCCCCATACCCGCAACCAACAGCCATCAACTGCAGCCCCACATCTCTGAGACCACCTCTGTTCACTTTCCTCACCCATTCAGTTTTTTAGAGTCTGCATATAAGTGAAATCATATGGTATTTGTCTTTCTCCGACTGACTTGTTTCACTTAACATAATAGTCTCTAAGTCCATCCATATCATCCCAAATGTTTCGATTTAATTCTTCTTTATGGCGGAGTAATACTCCATTGTATAAATGTACCACAATTTCTTAATCCAGTCGTCTACCGATGGGCATTTCGGTTGTTTCCAAGTCTTGGCTATTGTGAATGGCGCCGTAATAAACAT